TTTTTGACATGGATTATTACCTGTAACAAGAATGATAAGTGTTACAGTTTAGCCGAAAGACGGGTGAATAACGAATGTTAATCAGGTTAAATGGCAAAAAATAGGTTTTTGCTAATCAGAAATAATAATTATGGTTTATCAGAATATTTGTAAACCAATTTGTTGAAAATTTTTGATTATTAGTAACAGTATAACTACAGAATATTATAGCTCATAATCAGAAAAAAAGATAAAAAAGTTTGAAAAAATTATTCTGAACATTTTTTAAAGAATGAAAAGCTGCACTGTGATAGTGGATTACCTGATTCCAGATACTACAAAAAAGAAAAAAAAAAGTTTAATACCTAAGGTATAATATTTTGCTGTACAGATACATGTAAAGTTAAGATCTCTTTAAGCAAAAAATAAAAATTTGTTAATTTTTACACATTTTCTAAATGTAAAAAAAAATTTTTTTTTTAATACTAATTTTTTTTTATAAACAACAAAATTTTATTTACAAATAGTAGTTGAAAAAGAAGTTTTTGGTGGACCAAATGGTTATAATCATAAATAAAAAAAAAACCTTTAGATTACTTTTATTTTATCAAGCAATTTTGATGCAACTAAAACAGTACTAGTCTAACAATTTCTCAGCGACAGTCGTTTACGTCTGCTTAATCGGTTTTCATTATTTTCCAGTCATATTTACAGGCTTCTGAAAATTGAAGTTGTTAGAATGTGTCGAGAAAGTGAAAATGAGTGATACTGAACGACATCAATTGGCTATGAGACAGAATGAAAAGGAAATAAACCAACGTTATTTGTCCTAAAATTTTTAAGTGGATCGTAATTCTCAAACGAATTCGTTTAATAACTGCTAAAAAATGTTGTCTTTATACTTTTGTTTTTTTTGGGGGGACTTAATTTCTTCAAGTTTTTATTTTCTGGCATCTTGTAGGCTAAAGAATAACACCTTAAAAAATGAGCTAACGTTATTGTAAGATTTTAAGTTACGTTTAACGAAATTCAACCGGTACGATAATTGAGTAAGAAAAGATTATTAGATAAATGACAAAGAT